TTAGGCTTTGACCCACACAGAAAGAGATGGAACAGCCTGGGCTGCAGGGGCCTGGAAAGCGACGAGCATGTGGGCAGCACTGCGTGGGGCAGTTGCAGGGGCTGCCTGTTCTCCTTCTCCTAGTGCTGCTCCAAGGGCACAGTCTGGTGACTGCAGCCACTTAGGGAAGCCTTAGGATGCAAAGGAGAATGAGGACACAAGGACACTAACAAAGCCCAGCTCTGCAGGAGGAGGCATGCTGCCCTGGGATGTCGCCGCTGTCTTGTCTGAGCCCGAGGGTGGCACTCGGTCCACCTGTGGGGAGCAGGGAAGAGAGAGGACCCGGCCCTGGCTGCCTCTGGTCTGCCTGGGAACGAGCTCCCTCAGGCGGAGCTTGACAGTCGGTATCCAAGCATCATCATCAGAAGCACGTAGTCCAGAGCTGTGTGCCCAGCAGAACAGGGCACTGGGGCAGGGACCCAGCCTTCTCGGCTCCTGAATTGGAGCCTGGCATGCCCCATCTTAGAGTCCTTCAATCTGCGCAGATGCACTTGGCATCTACAGTGGGACCGGAGTCCACGACACTGGGCATGGAAGGAAACGGGCCCTGTGATCAAAGAGGCCATCACAGACATGGCAGCTGAGTGCTGGGATGGGCTCTGAATGGGATGTCAAGAAGCAGGTGGCAGGAGATGGGTGAAGAGAGGGTGAAGGGGAGGGGAGCTGGATGCAGAACCTCATTCCCTGGAGGTAGGACTGTGTCCATGACAGGGGAGCCACAGAGGGCCTTTCCAAGAGAGGGATGTGACCAGCTTTGGTGTGAAGGCCACGGAGCAGAGCATGACTAGAAGTAGGGAGGCCACCTGGTAAAAGAGACGGAGGCTGGGACAAGAGTGGTGCCCTTGTCAGAGGGAGGCCAGGAGAAGCTTCTCTAAGTGTGGCTGCATGTTTAGCCCAATTCCTAGAGCTGGGGCAATCATGCCAGTCACAACATAGGACATGTTACAATGATGTCTTACTTTTTTCAAGGCCAGGCACTGGCACATTTCTTCCCTATTTTACAGGGAAAGAAGTGGAGATTCTGAAAGCTTAACTAATTTATCTGGCAAGGCATGGTCTCTCATGCCTGTGATCCCAGCACTTTGGGAGGCCGAGGCAGAGGCAGGAGGATCACTTCAGCCCAAGAGCTGGAGACCGGCCTGGGCAACATAGTGAGACCCCCTCTCTATAAACAAAATTTAGCCGGGCAAGATGGTACACGCCTGTGGTCCCAGCTACTTGGATGCTGAGATGGGAAGATCAGAATCACTTGGGTCACCGGGGGGTCGAGGCTACAGTGACCCGAGATCATGCCACTGCACTCCAACCTGGGTAACACAGCGAGACCCTGTCTCAAACTTAAAGGAAAAAAAAAGTTTGAAATCATGCAGCAAGAGAGTGACAGGGCTGGCATTCCAGCATCGTCCTTCAAAATGTGACAGACACAGGTCCCACCTGAGCCAGCAGGAATGCGACACCCAGTGCTGCCTCTGCACAGGCCTGATGCTCGCCGGCACTTTAAAGGCAGAGGAGACCCTACGACAAACGCATGAAGAGCGCATGTTTCATGGGATTGATGTTGATGCTGGCGTTCCCTGCAAGCCACTGAGGAGAAGCCCCTCTCCCAATGGCAGGGCCACGAGAGGTGAAGGACCCCCCTCCACCACCCCTAGACAGGTCTTTCCTGGCCACAGATGCCCCAGGTCCCTGAATGTCAAAACCGAACCCCAACCCTCCAGCTGAGCAGAGAAACATTCAGATCCGGTTCCTTGGTGGTCAGGGAAGGCAGGCTTCCTCTGAAGCACAGATGGCTTCACCCTTTTCTCATGAGCCCTGCCAGGGCGACAGCAGCCTTTCCCAGGATCATCCTTTAAGATGCGACAGAAACAGGTCCCACCTGAGCCAGCAGGAATGCGGCACCCAGTGGCTGCCTCTGCACAGTCCTGGTGCTCGCCGGCACCTTCAGGGCTAAGGACACCCTGTCGTAAATGCATGAAGAGTCCTGTGTTTCATATATTGATGTTGTTGGTTTTTCTTTAGAGGAACACTTGTGCACTGTGGGAACCTGTGTGTCTACCACTGTCACCCTTGCTGTGGGGAGTGTGTACTGTGTGTGGGGGCTGGTGACCTTTCCCTGCTGTCTGCCACAGCATGTGAGGGGCTCGCCAAGCCTCATCCCTGCCCTCCCTCTCCCCGTCCCCTCCTGCCCCAGGGAGGCCCAGACCCAGGGAGGAGGGGTGCTGGGAGTGAGTGACGAGGAGCTGGGGTCCTGGCCCTGCAGCCGCTGTCACAGCACAGCCCACCCCAGACCTCCAGAGTCATGGGACTCTGGTGGCACAAGCTCCAGAAGCTTGGCCGATGCCAGGTCTGGGACCGAGGCCCTGTCTCCAAGGCCTTGGCTTGCTGTTCTGGAAGGTGATGCTGGCTGGCAGCCATTCCCAGCCCCTCAGAGAGCAGTTGTCAGGCAGTCCCTGAGCTCCAGCGCCCCATCCCCAGCAGGCCCAGTGATCTCATGCCTGTGCCCCTGGCGCTGGGAGGAGCGGGGTGACATTAGGGCTGGTGCCCACATCAGGGGAGCAAGGTCTGAGGCCAGGGCAGGGGACAGGGTGCCCTCCCATCCAGCAGCCCCAGTGCCCTCCCCGCCCCCTTCAGGGCTCCCATGGCCCAGAGTGTGGAGCGGCGCGGCCTGACCAGCCAGGACACCTTGGGGCGTTTAGGAGGTTTGGCTGTCCAGGCTGTGCAGCTAGCACTGCTCCCCAGGAGAGGGAGGGAGGAGGTCAGGGGAGAGGGCCTTGCTGACCGGGTCGCTGTCACAGCCTCCATCTCTGGCCCTGGGTTCTTG